ATGTACGATGCATATCTTGGCTGACAGCATAGTTGAAAGCCTGGAGCATGACAGACATGTAAAGGTGCACATTGTACACCCAAGTGCGTGGAGCATTGTACACTGCACCTTTTAAGTTCCTATGCTCTGCCATAGCATGTGTTTACCAGTGGCATTCTTTGTAGAGCCCAGTGATTAGAGGCTACTGGAAGTGATGCAGACAGTGAGCGGAGCCACACTTTCAGGATGCTGTGACCACATGGGGCAGCATATGGAGCTATGTCCTCCTCTCTCTCCAGGACTTTTTAGATATGTCAGTTGGGCCTTAATCATGCATTTTTCTGCATGAGGGGAGAACTAGAGTATCTGTGCCGAGCTGGCTTCTGTGCCCTGCGGTTCTCCAGCAACACAGTCAATCAATAGTGCCCATGCACCACTGTGTACACAACATGCATGCATACACACATGCACACTTACTGTATAGGCACAGACAGATACACACAAAGAGTTTACATCTGTCCCATTTAGGACTCTGTGCTTATTCTGTCCATTATTCAGGCCAACATGCTTTAGACCATTTCCTTATTGTCATCATGCTTTTTAATTAGAGGAGAGTGGGAACTGGCGGATGGGGGACCATACCTCAATAGTTCAGCCTTCCAGAGACTCAGGGACGAAAGGGGCATTTTTCAAGGTCTAAACCCACCCTCCCCTCATATGCACAGCCATCTCGAAGTCCCTAGCCACCCTTGAGAGGAAAGCACAGCCTTCCATGTGCATAAAGTTGAAATAAACTGCACTCTGTATTTTCATTGGGGAAAGTGAACCCAATTTACACGCTGCTCCATTGGAGATGAGCACTCTGGCGTACCCTAGCTGGTAATCTTGCCCAGTTTCCCCCTTTGTGTCCCGCATTATTGTTGAAATAAATAACCTTTCACTGCAATCAGTGTGGGGATCTTCACTTAAATTATCGCCCCACAGATAGCTCACTCATGATCTGCTTCTATATCCATTAACTATCCGGGAAAGTGATTTATTGGTGAAGGGTAAGAAAAAAGGAATGAGGAGGAAGGCAAAGGAGTCAGTTTGGTTAGACAATAGTGCCCTCTACTGTTTGCAAAGTGGATCGCTTCGATAAGGGGGGCACTGTGGTCACTGAAAACATCTTCAACACTAATGTGCTGATGAAGTTTTGAGAAAGCGGTTATGTCTTCTAACCTAAAACCTGCTTATGTGAGCCTATGAATGTGGCAATCTTTAATTACAATGACCAAAACTGAAGTAGGGGCTTATTCAAGCAATAAAAATTCAGATCCAGAATAAAGCAGCAGAAAAGCCAATAGAACCAATTAGTTCCTGCAAAAGCCACCAAAAACAAATAGCTTTGGTACAGTTCAGATGGAAGTATGTATATTATGCTGTCTCTCAGTAGCAATTCAAGTCAATGCTCAAGGACCTAAGCCTCCCTCCATCCCTCCATCCCCTCCTCCGCAGTCCCTCCTTCCCCACACTCCTGTGATGTGTCGTTACACGCTCGGCTGGCTCCTCTTCCATGACAGACTGTTACTTCCTGGAGCGGAAACGCATTTGATTGTTAACATCTGGGCCATTACAATTGCAAACTAGGGCTCTGTACATCAATCAGGAAGTGATTTCAAAACAAAGAGACCGTCCTCCAATCAATCTATTGGGAAGCGGGGGCATTACATGCTCCTGTAATCCCGGCTAATTAGCGGGATAATGGGAATGAGATTTATGAATCTGCTGAGGAGAGTGGAGGTGCGAGGGCACACTCAAATTAGCAGGGATGCACGCCAGCCAGGGCTGCAATAAGGAGGATGTGCTGTTGGTTTTTATCAACTTCTTGCTGCCTGGCCACCTTTGACTCAGTGTCACTGTGAACGCAGAATCACAGGCACAATGTAATGGACTTTTACAGTACATCAAGTCTCTGTTGAGGAGTTCAACTTTGTGTTAACATCCACCAGAGGAGCATTTTCAGTTTCTCGTTGCTTGTGTTAAACATCTGGTATTTCACAAAAAAAGAAATATGCTGTACATCATCTCTTTAAACACATCATATCTTATGACATTAAATGTTATGGAGTGTAATTTGCATGAATTAAACATTTTGGGAGTCTGACCTGAGAGTTTTCAGTCATCTGTTTCCCCTGAACTTTCCTGTCTTTCCCTAGTGACAAGCTGAAAGGGCCCAAAAATAAAGTAAATCAATAACAAAAACTAACACACAGTGCTGACTGAAGTTCCAACCTCACTCATCCACCTTCATCCAACTATCTCTGAGGTATTTTCAACAATACATCTGATGCAGCCCTGCAATGGACTGGCCACCTGTCCAGGGTGTACCCCGCCTTTCGCTCGATGTCAGCTGGGATTGGCTCCAGCCCCCCGCGACCCTGTACACAGGATAAGCGGTTGACGATGGATGGATGGATGGACATCTCATGCACATGGTGGATGGAATACAACAGAATCTGACATTCATCCCTTTTTTAGTGTTATTTTTAGGCTTGGCGAATGAGAGAGAGTGTGTCTATAACACTGAGTGTATGGCAGTGTGTGTGAGGCAGTGGATCCCTGGAGGTTGTTGCCTCGTTGCCACCCTGAAGCCTCTTCCTCCCCAGCGGCCCCAGGCCTGACCTTGCCCGCTGGCGGGGGACATCTCCCATTAAAGCAGCGCATTGTGATAAGGCCATTTCTTTTCCTTCAGCATCCCTTTAATGTCATCCCTGAAATATGAAGTCATTAAGCGATATTAAAACAGTGCTGACAAACTAATTAACAGAAGACATTATACGGGATGGGCTCGATTAATCCGCTTTAATTGCTCTTTTAAATGGGGGCTCCAATTAAAATTAATAAAGATTTACTGGTGATCACACCAAACTACACCAAGAAGTGGTTGTCTGAAGGGCAGCCTAAAGTCAGAGGCCCCCATTCTCAAGTTGCACTCCCTTTTGCTCCCTGCGCCCTCCCAGTGTGAGCCTGCCAAAAAGCCTGTATCTATGAGAAGGAGATTAAACAGAGGGACTGTCCCAATGCCCCCAGTCCCCCAGCTCCTTTTGTCTCCAGCTCAGGGATCTTTGATCATGCCTTTGTCTTTTCAGGACCCTGCTAAGGAGACACTGGCTGATTTTCCCATTATACTGCACACATACACTGACTGCGCACCAGCATCAGCCCTGCTTTTGTAACTCACAAATATACAAAATATGATGTTGACAATTAGAGAAGATTTCAAGGTGTCCGCTTCCCTGAAGTCCTTGCTGCAAGAAAATACTGAGCAAGTAATGAAGAATCCCCGAGCAGCGGTTCACTTTCTACACAGTGACAAGTGCACCCCTGTGTGGACATTTTTGTACACAACAGAATCTGATGCTGCATATTTAACGGCTTAAAATACTGATTTATGGTGTAGATTTCATTTTAAAAGACTGCTAGTGATTAGCTAAAATATGAAAAAAACACACCAAAGAATATTAGACTTGCTCTTTCAGAGATGAGTGAATTGAATTTGAGGAAACTGAGCTGTGTGCATTACAGCACAGCTTCACTAGATGATGCTGTTACTCTTTTCTGTTCATCCATCCCCCAGAACTAAGCGAACTGCACTGATTTAATTCTCTTTATTTTGTACAGTTCTTATTTAATTCTCTTTATTTTGTCTCCTGCAGTGTGAAACTGAGAGAACAACAGCTTCATCAAAATTTGCATTTAGTATGAATGTAACTTTCTAGGATGTTGAACACACAGCACAAAGCGTCTGTTCAAACAGTGTTTTTGTTTGAATTTGATCATGTCCTGTCGCCTTTTACTTTTTATTTCACCTTCATTAAAAAGCATGCTTTGTTTTATCTGAGACTCTGCTACAGAATGTAATTTCATCTTGTTCTGTTTAAGTTGAAGCCCTGTCAGCCGGAGGCAGTGAAACAACTGCAGGTATTTTCTTTGTTTTCTTTCATTATATCAGAGGTTACCAAGTCTTTTTCAGAAAATGTTACACAACAAATTAATTTGAGCAAAGCACTTTGCTTCAACCAGAGGCGTTTTAATTGAGTTGAGAATGTAAATCAATTTACCGAAGAAGACAGATCTAATTGAAAAGAAATGTCTATTAAAAGATTAGTGTGGTTTATTGTCTCCAGTCTTTGTCATCAACCAATCCAACTAATGTTTTAATTTCCTTAATGTTATCATTTCTGATGTAATTGGTGCTTGGGTGCCTAATAGGTTTTCCAATTAAATGTTTGGTTTTGGGCACTATCAATGTAAGCTCGTATGGTGACAAGAAACAGTTTACTTTTATAGAAGTGGTCCATGCTGTTGTGCATGGTGCATTCCTACCTTTATTCACTTATTTGTTTTAGGGGTAAATTTACCTGGAAACATGCAATAGTAGCACTGATGATGCTTGAACACTGTTCATTCATGGTGAAATATAGTATGCTTGGCAGTGAATTTCATTTATCACATTTAATTCACTTTGTTTATATCAAGCATCAAAAGTAGCTCATCTGTGATTTCCGTGACATCACCAAACTTGCGTGTGCATGAGTGTGCATGTGTGTGTGTTTGCCATCAGCGAGCTTTGAGTGGGTGCCTGGAAGAAAGAGTCAACGGGTTTGTGGAATTTTGCTTGGGTGGCACAACTGTGATATGAGGTCACCTCGGGCATTAGTCATTAGGAGGGAATGCATTGTGGCTGTTTTTAAGACATGGCAGTTGTCTGCATCCGCACTGACCACACAATGAATGCAGGCCTTAGAAAGTTGACTTGAATTGGCTTCGGTGAACAATGTGAACGGCATAGTTCGGGGGACATTTAACAGCTGGCTGCTGGACGTGGATTAGAGGCACCTTAGGGGCTCGGCAGTGGCACACAGTATTTTCATAGGGAGAGTTAAACAATTACGACTAAAAACAAAGTATTTACCTGTCTTATTTCTTTGAACGTTAAAATATGTAAAACCACAGCACACATGTTTTATATTATAATTTAGTGCATCTTTAATTTCAATTATCATCCAGTACAATGTCTCTGACTGAAATATCTGAAAATGATTGTACTTTACATGACCTTTATACATGATAATAAAACCCATGACACTCACTTGCATTACACTATATAACACAATTTTTGTTCCTGGGTAGTAATTGTTATTTCCTAATTTCTCATGCATGCGTATAGAAAATGGCTATTATTTCACACAAACTTTTATTTCATGACCAGGACAGTGATATTTTGAAATGTACCTATTTCCACTGAGAAAACGTGTAAATGTGTGTATTTTCATTCATATAAACTATCAACAACAAGTAACAAAATATGAATTCAAATTAACATGCATTTGAACATCTTACACTGAGAGCAAATTTGTGCTGCTCCATAATGGTAACAAGTACCCGTCTTCCTCTGCTCACTTGGTGCACCTCAATGAGGATCAGTATCAAGACCTTGCTGGACACTTATTGCTGGACAGCTATTGATATGATGATCCACGATATGGAGACCCATCAGGAAGGCCACCATTTGGGCCTTCCTGATGGGTCTCCAAGGTGGTTTTGCCAAGTTTCCCTGCTATCTTTTGGGCGTTTGGGACAGCAGGGACACCAAGGAACACCACCACAGGTGGGACTGGCCAAAGTGGACTGAGTTCTCTGTGGGTAAGAACAACATCAAGTAGGAGCCACCGGTGAACCCCCAGAAGAGGCTGAGGCCGCCACTGCACATCAAATTGGGCCTATGAAACAATTGGTCAGATATCTAGATAAGGAGCCGGTAGCCTTCAAGTACCTCCTCCCCAAGCTGTCTGAGGCAAAGAATAAAGCCATAAATACATGTTAATTTGGATGAATACTTATTTTTTTCTGATTTTATGTAAACAAAAAGACACAAATTTGCCCGTTTTCTCATTGGAAATAGGTACATTTCAAAATATCACTGTCATGGTCACAAAAGCAAAGTTTGTCAGGAATAAAAGCCATTTTCTATACTTTTGAGGCATAAGCAATTAGGAAATAACATTTACTATCCATCCATTACCAAAATTTGTTACACTGTGTTATTTTTCACATGCGCATTCTGTCAAGCTAATAGTTTACAACATAATTATAGAACATTATGCAACATACAACAGCAGCGCAGTTACATTTACACAATACACACAGCTATGAAATGAAATGGAATTAAATGCAAAGTAATACTGATGGTAATTGCCAAAAAGAACTTTCAGTTTAACTAAATCAGGCTACACTATAGTTTAATAATGTCGAAAAGAATGATTACACTTTTTAAACATTTTTACACACCTACAAACGCAGTAACTCTCTAAATGTGTTGAGGCAGATTAAACACTAAACAGAATTACCCAGAAGAGCATTCATATTTTCCAATAATTGCTTGTTGGTAGAAATAGAAAACATACAACATTTTAGACTATAGATAGTTTCAAATTTCAAACGGTGGGTTTTTTTTGTTGTTTTTTGCAGATCTACAAAATTATTAATTATCCAACATCTACATTTCACATCACTAAAATGCACTACAAGAGAGGAAGAAATAATACTGTCAAGTGACTAACTTCAACTCCTTCACTGTTATAACTTTCCACTTTGGCCTATAAACAGGAAGATGTCTTGAACTCCTCAGGGACGTCACTGTCCAGTTTACAGATCACCTTGTATATGGCCTTTTTCCAAGAGGGGTCTGAATCTTTTGCTGCAGAAACGGCGTTGTAAAACTCGTGCAAGGTGATTTCAGCAACCTCCAGGAATCTGTCTGGAACCTGTAAAAGACAGGAAAAGCAGAAAATCCTTAGTGAAGTCAATCTAGGTAAAACCTTATTCCAAATAGTGAAAAAGCCCTCCATGCAATTACAAAGATACTGACCAATCTGTCTTCAGTTTTCTCAAAGTCAGTAATACATGAAACGAAGACCTGTAGCACAATTCTTCAAACACTCACACTCATGAAAGGGAGCTCATATCTTTGTTCTCTGACACATACAATACATGCAATACTGCAATCATTAACTCTAATTTAGAGGCCTCTTTGATTAGCTAGTCTTGTTTTCTTGACCCTAAAAAAACTACAGGTGAGTTTTCTTCCCAGGGATTCTACGTTGCAATGTCAGGGCCAGTCAACAAAGCATGATTATGAACCCCACCAGTAATGTGGGGAGAAGCTGAAGATTGATTTGGTGTAAGACTTGAGATGGTTAGTTTTAATTTCAGAGATAACTGTTGTTAAATAATGATGTGGTGGGTTAAAGTTGCGCAAAGAATCTGGGAGTGAACCATAACTACAGCGGGATCCATAAAAAGATGCAAGGGATGCTGGGAGAAAATCGCCCTGCAGCCCTTGTTTCCCATCCACTGGCCAGTTAGCACAACAGTTGTTGGCATAAGTTATTTTTCTTTCCCCTCATCTCCTGACACAAAAGCATCCCTGGGAAAGGAATGTCTTGGTCCCAAGGTAAAGAAAACGGTCCCGTCCCTTTCCCACCAAACGGCCTTCTCCCTCGGAATCCACAGCGTCTTTCTCAGCATTCCGCATCAGTAGCAATCTCAGTCTCGCTCAGGCGTACTGGTCCTCTAATCCTGAGTTGTTTTAGTGGGATTTTGCGGCTTCCTCTTCCCACAGTTTGATAAAGCATCACTCTGGAGTTTAGATAATGGCTGTAAAGGCTGGCCAGCCACAGGTGCAGTGTGACAAACAGGTCAGCACACTGAGATATGTGACCATAGCCACAAGCTGACAGGACATACTTCAGTAGGTTAGTAACTGTTGTCATGAATGTGTCAAAACTTCGATGAGGAATAGTTTGACATTTATGGAAATACGTATAGTGGCTTTCTGGTGGAGAGTTTTATGGGAAGATTGATTTACTCTCATATCTGTCAGTAAAATCTGAAGCTGCAGCCAGTAGCCGGTTAGCTTAGTTTAACATAAAGACTGGGAACAGGGGGTAACACCTAGCCTTGCTCTGTCCGAAGGTACCAAAAACCTCTAAAGCTCACTTACAATATTAACCTGTTTTTTCTCACTTGTTTAATCCATATAAAAAGTGTAAAAATGACAGTTAAACAATTCTTGGTATAATGTGTAAATTTGTGAATTAGAGGTGCTAGATTTTGTTACAGGCCAGCTGTTCCCAGTCTTTTTGCTAAGCTAGGCTAACTGGCTGCTGACTATAGCTTTAAATTTATCATACAGACATGAGAGTGGTATCAATCATCTCATCTACTCTACTCTAAGAAAATAAATATGTGTATTTCCCAAAATGGCCAAACTGAAAGTTTGTTCTTCCAATTTAAGAAAACCTTGATCTGTCGTACAGTATATTATTACGCACCAAGTCAACAAAGCAAATTACTTGTATGTGTAAACCTACTTGGAAATAAAGTTGATTCAGATTCTGATGAGAGCAGCACCTCTTTTGACAAAACCCCATTAGCAAAAAATCAGCTAGAACGCTCAGTTCTAACAATACAAATGACTAATGAGTAACACTTACGTGGAAGTCATTGGCTTTATTGTAGTGCATGTTCAGTGCCCGGAACAGCTCTGAGTCCCTGCTAACTGTAATGTCTTTGACATCATTGATGCCGTCAACAATGGCCTGGCGGGCAAACTTCTCCATCTGGATGTAGTAGAACTCTCTGAAGTTACTGAACCACTTGATCAGCTGGGAGGTGATGCAGCGGTTGAACTGAAAATGGAGGGGGGGGACGGGACTTCACTTAATTCATGTTATTATATCATAATATATGCATTCTTAAGTTTACAGCAGATAATTAAGGGACTATCCTGCAACTGAAGCCCCAGCATTCACAATAATATGTCCAGCTGAAGTGTCCCTGAGCAAAACAATGAAACACGGGCAGCTCCAGAAGTGCGTCTATGACCTTTGATCTCCCAGTGAGGAAGGCAAATGAAAGTACTCTTTTCAGGATTAATGAAATATGTAATTCAGAATTTAATTTCAGACTTCAGTGAGAGCAAACATAAATTAAAAATATTCATCTCCATGCTTTTTGATTAAAAATAAAATAGCCTTCTGATGCTTTGGCATCCACATTTTCCATAATTGACTGAAAACCTGCATTTGGTACCTGTAGGGCAAAATGCCACCAAATGGCCTGTCACTCTACGCGACATTAATTGCTCTGATCCTTTCCCACCAATGTCTGGTGTGAAAAAACATCTGTCAGGGCTCTGTATTTCTAAACTCAGTCTTGACATTAGTCTTGTTATTCTATCTCCTCATCCAGAAAGACAGAAAAAAATGCCTAAGGGCTGGGCAGGCATCAAAGACGCTTCTTCCCTCTGGTGTGGTGGGTGAGAAAGCGGCAGCATAAGGACAGAAGGAAGCTTCCCTCTCATTGACTCGGGCTGATAGGATGGAATCAGACACTGGGATTAGGTGCTCTTTTGTTCAGTGCCACTTCCCACCACAGGATTGTAAGCAAGGAGGAGACGTTCGCAGGGCTGCAGCAACAGCATCCTCCCCCCTGACCCCGGGGGTCAGAACAGATTGAGAGGTAGGGGCCCGCACTGGCTCAGAGAGCCAGGGCCGTGGTGGAAGGAGAGAAGATAGGAGAGGAGATGGAAGAGAAACTTGAGAGGTGTTTGGAAAAAACTGGAAGGGAGGTAGGAGAGTAGGTATGAGTGGGAGCTTGTGCTATAAGCAGGAAGGATATACTGCTTCTATTGGAAAACACCACAAAAAAGGGAGCTGAGATAAATAGGATGAATGAGAAGAGCTAACAACAGGACATAGATAAGGAGACAAGAGAGAAGACAAAAAGAGGAGATAGAAGAGGAGGCATGACACGAGACCAAGGCCTAAATACACAGGATGTTGTGTTTAGGGCCAGCTCACCACCGCCTGGTTGCTGCTGCACAAGTCTCTAATACCAACTCTCTGTTGACACTCAATAGCAATGCCTTGCCTACAGAGTCCTTTGTCACTCCATTTGCTGACTGGAGTGGCTTTTTTAAAGAGAGAATGCCCCTGTATCTCCCTCTGCCCCCAGGACATACTAGCAGCTCAGTGGCTTTGTTATTTAAACCCTCTGCGTTTTTGTTTCTCTCCTCCGACACACTGCTGATTTTTCTGTCCCAAACACACACTGACAAGTAGATGCCAGGGGAGTCAAATGCAGGAAAAACAATGCCGCAGTTTTTTTGACATGTTAAATAAATAAAAAAACTCCTTTTTAAAAACTCACCTTCACATCAGGGAAGAAGGTTTTGAGCACGTTGGAGCTGGGGTAGCGGGTGTAGAAGAACATCAGCTTTGCCTTCTTCAGATGGCTCGGGGTGAGACCCTCCTGGATGTTCACATTTACGTTAAGGGAGAAAAACTGACAATTAAATATAACACACAGCATACAGTCCTGTGCAGAGTATTGTGTTGCCTCAATTTTCAGCTAAATTGAATTTCCCTAAAGAACAGCTCGGCATTAACCAGGGAGTCAATAATGACCCTAACATGTGCTTATTGGCAAAACAGAATTATGAATTAGATTAGGGATTTTTAATTAGAGAGCGAAGCACTTCATGCCTGGCAGTTAAGACAGCTTGTTTTGAAATGTTTTGAAAATGGAGCTGACTGTCCGATATAATGAAGCTGATTTAAAGACGACATATGTTCCTATATTTTTTTTTTCCCATAAAACCCTGCAAAAACGGGAAATTATGTAAAATTTTACAGATTACACATATTTTAAATGGCCTTTTGAGTTATGTAGCATATTGTATGTAAATATATATATATATATATGTGCATGTGTATATATATATATATAGTAATAATTTAAAAGGTGTCCAATTTCCACACATATCACTAAATATATTTCCTATGTTCTAAATATTAATACATTCAATACCTTCTCAAGTTTCCCCCCTATGGCAATGAAGACGCTCAGGAGCATTTTACTCTGTAGTCCACCACCACGCCTTAGGTCATAATATTTCCTTACCTGGTCACCACGCCATACATTTTATTAGGGAACCCTACCTTTGAAATAAGGAAGTTGGAATGAAAGATTTATGCAGTATTGTTCAAAGAGAAGCAGAGCTCTTTAAACTGTAAAGATAAAGAGAATCCTGGGAGGCACCACCTAATATTCCTCTCTAATTCCAACACTTCTGCAACTACTTTAGGTTAATTTACTTTAGAATGAGCAATAGTAAAGAAATTATTTATTCCAATTAAATGTGATGATAGAATTTAGATATTATTCAGATTGAGATTGTGGAAGTCACCAACCACATCATTCAATTTTTTTTATTTACAAACAAATGCCAAATATTTCCCTGAATAGAAATCACCCTGGGACAGGTTGATTTCCTTTGAGTTCCTATGAGGCAAAAAATACTGTTATCTTGCACTCAATCTTCAATCATGTACATTCTGACAAAGGTATCCAACAACAAATGCTCAAGACAAGAGCTCAAGTGTTATGGTTGGGAGGCACTTTTGATTTCCACCAGCACTCAGATGTGACCTTTTAGATGCACCCCTATCACTCTGATGATGGAGAAATAGATCCTGCACCTTTTCAAGTCTGAAAAAAACTACGCTTCCTGAAACAGAAACCAATGCTTTCTCTGCCTTTGAAAAATTGGCTTTTGTTCCTGGCAATTCTTATCAAAGCCTTGTATTCCTTTTTATTTGTCTTTTTCTAAACTTAAAGTCATTACTCGGCTCAGATTAAAGAAGATGCTATAATTTTCTATGGGGTTAGCGAGATCAAAGACAAAATTCTCCTTGAAGTTTGTTACAGGAACTGCCCATGCTGCAATGAGCCTCAACCAGCCATTGTTCACAAGGAAAAAAGAAATATAGAGAAAGGTAAATACGGTATATATAAAAGGTATTATCAAACATACCCCGCTGTAATGGGAAAAGTAAAGAATAATATAATGTGACATCAAGATTTTCAATGCAAATTTAGTCAAATAAATAAAGTAAAAAAATTATAATAAAATGTATTAATTCCTTAATATTTGCTGTTTAAGTATTTGCTATTTTAACCTACACGTCATAAAAAACATTTGATTATTGTCTATATTTTTTATCATCATTATTTAAAAATATAGTTTTTATTCCTGCATCAAGAAAAGGCAAAAAGCAAAGCCGCTCTGGCTCGAAATATTTATTTTAAGTGAAAGGATATGTTGAGTGACATGTAGGGGTTTCGTTCAGCCAAGCTCTGCAGTTCTCCGCACTCAATCTTGACATGGGGGAGACACAGATTGTCCACAGTCACTGCCCCTAGAGCGGAGGGACGAGGGTGGTGGCCAAGGTGGCTGGATGTCACCTTGGACCTCATGGCGATGGTGTCCCAGGGCAGGTCCACTGAGTCTGGGGAGGTCCTGTCCATTGATGGGGGCATGCAAGGGAGACCTCCAAAGTTGGAATGGGGTCCGTACTTAAGAAGATGCTCTAGGATCTGACTGTCGTGTAGAGGGGTGTTGTAACTGAACTGAAATGGTGTCTGGTGTACAGGATAGGGCCTCTTCACCGTTGGGGTGACTGAGCTCAGAGGGGTCACTGCAGGCTTGCGGACCACCAGCGATAGTGCCTCTGTCTGGTCCTGTGGGCTTTGAGCCTCAATGCTTTCATAAAACTCCAAAGAGCGGGGTTTCACTGCAGCCTCCTCAGCCTGGGGCTGTTCCTGGCTGGAGCGGGCATGCTGGCTCTTCCTGTCTGCACCCATGCTGATCTGCATCTCTGGGGTTGAGCACATGCGCTGCTGAGGGGACATGTCCAGCCCCGTGGAGGACAGCTTTTTGAACACCCTGTCTACACAGTCATTCACAGCTCTTGAAAGCTCCTGCTTCAGGGTTTCCTGTAAGTTCTGGCTCTCTCTGTGGTGCACCAGATAACCAACGACTTTCATTTGGTCCTTACACTCTGCAGTCACTCTGCTATTTTTCCTCTCAAAATCACCTTCACTGCTTACGTAGCGTGACTCTGTGCTTTCTCCCAGTATGTCATGCTCAACAGCCACTTCTGTCTCGTCTCTGTCATTGTGTTCAGGGTTTTCCTGGTTGTAAACTAGAAGAAACTTTTCCTGGAGCTGACGCAGGAGCCGTTGCATGCTGTGGAGCTGCTCTTTCAGCTTGTGACACTCCTCATCCTTGGTGTTGCAGGTATCACTATTGCTGATTCCAGGTCTTCTGTTTGCCACTCCAACACTGTGTTCCTGATGCTGAGGCAGCCTCTGTTTACGTTTGTTCTCCCTGTATGATTCTCTGGTGTCTCTGGCATCTGTGTCAGACCTCTCACTGTCTCCATGCTGCTGGCTGTTGGGAGAGCCGGCCATGACCCTGATAATGTTTTCTACTCTGGCCCTCTTGGCCTGCAGGTGGTCAGTCATGGGATGCTCCCCCTCCGGGATGGCTCCTGTAGAAAGGTGCCCACTAGGAGAGGCAGCTTCCACCGTGCTGTCCTTTGAGGAGACGCTGCTCTGGTCCTCCTGGCCGGAGTCAGCGGCAGTAGAGTTGGAAAGGTAGAAATGGCTTTCATCTAGTGCCCTCTTGCTCTGGATTGTCTTGCGAAGGAGCTGAGAGATAATGGATCCATTGGTGTATGAGGCCAGAGGCTCGTCATATATGCTTCTGCGGAAGCATGGCAACATGACATCAGGTTTGTCGTCCTCTAGGCAGCCTTCACTGGAGTTGTGCATGTTCTGGTCGGGAAGACTGAGGTTCATGCTCACTGGGGAAACTGTTTAGGGCTTCGGCTACGCACGTTGCAGAATCAGAGTTATGTCAAATGCAAGAATCTGAAATGACAGAAAAATGGATAACAGTTAATAAACACATCATGTGGTCCTTTAATGTTTTTAAAGTATATTTGTGTCTTTTTTCGTATAACTTAAAGTAAAGTAAAAACATCTTAATGTTCTTTCTTTCTTTTTTGCCTGTTGTTGAACAGTGGCATTCAAATATAGCATGTAATGTCATTTTTTATGCTTTGGGTAGATAGAAAAATATATTCATTTGCAAAAGAATTTCATGAATCTAATAGATATAACATTCACAGGCAATTCTGTCATTTTCTTTATAAAACGTGAAATTGCACTTGTGATTTTCTAAACTTAATTTACAAGCAAATGTAGAATTACACATGATGAAAATCAAAGAACCCTGCCTTATTTGTAAGATCCTCAGATCTGAAAAAACGAAAGAAATCCTTGATCTCTGCATAATAAAGAAGTGCGTTATTTTGTACAATTTCATGTTGGGGTTGTAATAATGGTTAACACAAAGGAGAAAACGAACAATTGTGATATATCTATGAAATGTAAATTTCATCTTATGAAAGCCACAAACCACGCACAAGAAGAGGCTCTGTGAATACATTATTTACGAGAGAAAATACGTATAATGAAAACCTCTATTTTTTAATAGTTTACATCTTAAGGAATGATAAAGAGATGTTCTTATGTGCTAAAAATAAAAAGCTCAACTTCCAGATTCTGCCGTCACGGACTACACTCCCTTAAAGTGTTTATTTTTAAATATTTTCTGGGCTTTAACACAAAATATACTCAGACATTGACCTACAAATGCAATGTTATATTAATTAAAATTACTTCCTTATATACAAATGGAAGGGATGGGCTTGAAAAGAAAAGATTTATTTCTATACATCAGTCCCCTTCTCTATTTCTTACTTTTGATATACATGAAACAATTTATCAGAAAGACCAAACTGCTTCTAAATAAAATGTAATGGCAAGTAGACTCTCTTATCACACAAAGCAAAGTTAGAATTTAACTCTGCTATAATTTGTGGACATTAGAAGTCATTTTAATATTTTCCTTTATTCTTTACAGTTTGTAAATGTCATGCAATATAGCAAGCTGTAGACCTACTGTTTGTTGATAAATGGTTAATTAATTGCCTGAAGAAGAGCATACAATTTAAAGTTGAAATTAAATTCAAACATTTTTAACTAGCCTACTTTATATCTGAAACAATATCAAGTGAAGGTACAGACTGGTTTGATTATCTACTTTTATCCTAACAAAAGACTATAGCCTACATTATCCCAATAAGCAAGCCGAATAGCCTAGTAAAAGCCATAAGCCGTAAAACCTGAAACATTTATTTAACAGTCAATAAACACGTGATAACTCAGTCAAAAGCTCATCAAACATTTGATTATAGTTGGTGTGCACATCGTTCTCATGAAAAACCACTAAACAGAAGTGACAAGTTTCGAGGTAAGATGAGCTGCAGGCATGCACTTTGTCACACTAAAAGGGTTGCACTTTAACCACGGTTCACACAGACAGCGAGCAGCAGTGATGGGACCTTACCTGTTGCGCTGGGACGTGCTGCCGAGCTGATGGCCTGCGCAGACTGTGAGTTGGACAGTGGGAGTGCAGAAGAGGCGATGCATCAAACGGAACTGGGCGTGGCCATGTGAAAGCAATAAGGTGGTCGCTCATCATCCAAATGCCAAGAGAAGGAAAGTATTAATAAGGTGTTAGCCCACTCATAGTGGTTGGAAGATGGGCTTCAATGGAGGAATTGAAGCCTACTGAATAAAAAATAATAATACTGGCTAAGGCAATATGCATAAATATTCATCAATAACTGGAAAACAAGTAGTCGGTCAGCATGATGTAGGCCTGCATGCATCAATATAGCCTACTCAGGTGGACCAGCAATGAAACACAGACAGGATAAAACGCAAAGCACACATAAACACAAGGAAGACAGAAGTGAAAACTACAGTTCACACTTTGAACAAGTTCAGTTATTAATGTAAATATAAAATTAAAGGGGGGAGGATCCTCTCGTATTAGACTTTACAGCATCTTTGAATGTAACAGCCTAACCTAATCAAATATTAGCTTTGCAGTTGAAAAAATTATCTTAGGTTATGTTTCTTGTGTTTCTTCTATGTTTACATTGGTACCTGTAGACGTTATCTTTACTTATCTCTATCCTGTTCTATGCTACATTTTATGTATTTGACAACGTTATGTTAAATCTAGACAGGTCTATCATCTATATATATATTTTTTTTTGTTATCTGTGGGCAATATTTTGTCTTATTTCTATTATATTCTATTCTCTGTTTTTCTGTAAAGGTGGCTGAAGGTGCACCATATTTACACTTCATTTAGGCTATAGATCATTTCTTAATGTCCAGTAGTTGCAGTAGTGTGGAGGGGATCAGAGGGGACCACAGAGTGACTCCCCCTCCTCCCGGAGCACTTGGTTTATCCCACACCACTTCCTCGGGTTTTGCGCGTGCCTATCTTAGCTTGTCGATGTGACCGGAGTTTCCCTTCCGCTGGCAGGCTGCTGTCATACAGTTACCATGTTATCCCATTCCCGGTGTCTCACCAGGAACTTTGGCCGTTCCCTCTCTGCCATCCGCCAGGTAGGCAACAAACTAATAAAATGTTGTCGTTGCCACTCGCTGTCTCTGACTGTGGGTGAAGGCGCAGCTTCTGTATGCTCAGCTCAATCTCAGCTAGCATTAGCCAGCTCGCTGCTGCAGGCCGCGGACAGGCCGTAACATTGCATGCCAAGGACAGTATGACACCTTCCTTGACAGTTATTTGCTGCAGTCTGTATTAAAGTTGAAAACAGTGCCTTCTGCGTTGGGTTGATCTCGCGTTTCGACATGCACGTTAAAGGTGCTTGACTTGAGTAGAAAGTAACTGTTCATGTACAGTTGACGCAAACTTGACTTAATATTTATGTGCTAGCTAGCAAGAACATGCTAGCCATACTAAGCTGAATGTAAGTTACGGGTAACGTTAGGTTAGCTAGGCGCTTCTAGCTGTCATGCTGAGGTCATATTGTGTTTTTTAAGAGAACACAACGCCCAGTTACCTAATGGCAGAATTAGGTTAAGTTTTGTTTTTTCATTTAGAGTGTGACTTTCTATAATGTTAGCTGCATTAAAAGTAACAATGTCGGTGAAGTCCTAAGTTAACTAGTGTCAGTAAGATTAGTAACGTTAGATCATTAGGCTTTAGTGCAGCTGTTCATTTAGCTGCTCAAATAAAACTGTGTAACGCATTTGCTCGTTCCTCTCTCATGCTAAACCAGACATGCCAGATAATTTTACGGAAAGTCAAAGGTTATCGTCAAGCCTGAAGAGGTTACCTTTGAACGTCAGCACTGATTTCTTTCCCCCTGTTGTTGACTCCACTGTTATTTATGTACAGTTCCATCTGTTATGGCTTATCACTGTGAATTTATATGAGTGTATATTTTCCCAGAAATGTTATGCTTTGGAAACGTTGATGAGTTGTTATTCTGCACACTACATTCATGTGTCAAAAGTAGCAAACGTTTTTTAATGGTTAACTGTACTTTTTCACAGGGGAACAATGCGTTAGCTCGTCGGGCCACGGCAGGTATGTGTGCTTACTTTTTAAAGCATGAAGTCTTAAATCCCAATCTTTGCTTTGGGACAGTAATGCTGCAAGAACTTATTAACATGTTTCTCTTCTCTTCCTACAGCTCCATCAGTTAGCCATTCTATCACTTTCAACAACAATGTGTAAGTACACAAACTCGTAAAAACCGTTTGAACAATGAACTTTAAGTTTACCATTCACAGCATACATGTGATGAAGAAGTCATTTATTTCTCTTCAGTCTATATAGCTCCTGAATCGTCAGCTGTGGCTCACAGTGTCACCCATGCACTGTCACGAACCTATATTCCAATTATCAATTATTATCTGTTGGTCAGATTTTGTCTCCAGTTCAGTTGACACAGCAAATATAGCTTGTGCCGTTCTACACACAGACTCTCACTTTTTAATGTACACACAGATTTTATTTATTTTTTCTTCAGAAAATCTGATCCCCGGTCCAGCATCCTCCAAATCCAGTACTTCAGGACGTCTGTAGCCTACAGTATGTTTGAGCCTGCATGACTTTCTTTTCTAGACTTTTCTGCATATCAACCACAACCACTGATGAAGTGAAGAAACAGATTTCCTTTCGCTTGTGTTTGTTTTTCAGGAGATGAAGTTATCACAGTTAAGACCCCTGCGTTTGCAGAATCTGTCACAGAGGGGGACGTGAGGTGGGAGAAAGGTAACGCCTTTTACTAATGAACATGCGTGGCCAGCTAAATCACAACCAAACTACACAAAAGGCAGTCACTTTTTCAGATGCTTAAACAGTTTTTCTCCTCACAGCTGTTGGAGACACCGTCTTGGAGGATGAGGTGGTGTGTGAAATTGAGACTGATAAGGTAAAACTAAGTAAATGTCATACAAAATCACTACGTTTGATAGCTGGCAATTGTTGGGCTTGGCCTATGAAAGTGAAAGCCTTAATAGTGTGTCGCACAACATGAATGAAAGAATTAGGGCAGGTTGTTCGCCCAACCCCCCCCCCCACACACACACACACACAAAAAAAAAAACAGTATTTGTTGGTGCTGACTAGAGTGAGAGATAAAAAAAGGGGCAAATCATTACCGAAGTGTGTTCTTTCAAACATTTATTGAATAATGGCTTATAAAACTGTTCCAAAGACATTAAACTTGTCATGATAGTTCAATTTATACTCAATCATTCAATATATATTCAATGTATGCATTCATTAGTTTAGCACCAGCCAAATCACAATGCATGCACTTTTTAGATAACATCCTTTAACTTTTTACATTGATTTTTAAACTGATTAATTTGGCATTTGTTTCCCTGCTGGTAGACATCAGTGCAGGTTCCCTCTCCTGCTACTGGAGTGATCGAGGAGCTTTTAGTCCCTGATGGAGGGAAGGTCGAGGGCGGAACTCTGCTCTTTAAGCTTCGGAAAGGAGGTCTTAAGTATTGTTTTTATCGAAAATTCACAAAAAATGATTAGTGGGATAATAAATATGTATAAGTCAGTCATAAGTATATCCTAACTGTTCACTTCTGTGTCTTTAGGCGGTGCTCCCAAAGCTGCAGAAGCTCCAAAAGCAGAGGCCCCGGCCGCTTCAGCCCCCCCATCCCCTTCTGCTGCTCCTCCTCCACCTCCCCCCTCAGCGTTGGGCCCCATTCCCACCACTATGCCCCCTGTGCCACCTGTGCCAACACATGCTATGGACAGCAAACCAGGTTAGTTGTAATGAGACACACGGCCTGTGTCATGTGAGAACTGTTTTGCTTGACATCTGTGCTATTGACCTCTAGCTTACATGATTAATCATTGTTCGGCTCTCTGTATGTAATGGCTCTCACGACTTCCAACAAACTGATGAGATACTAGCTGCTTCTATATATCTTTTTCATAGTTTCAGCCATCAAGCCCACTGCTGCTCCAGCTGCACCAGTGGCCCAAGCAGAGGGAGGGGCTAAAGGAGTCAGGACAGAGAGCAGGGTAAAGTGCAAAAATCAACGCCTAAAAATATTTACAGATTTCTGATTACTTTTAGATTTGTTTAATGCTGCCAGAGCCTGTAAATGTTTACTGAGTTTGATAATTATTGTTTTTTGATTTAGGTTAAGATGAACCGCATGAGACTGAGAATTGCCCAGAGACTGAAGGAAGCCCAAAACACCTGCGCTATGTTGACTACATTTAATGAGGTCGATATGAGGTAGGAAATTCAAAATGAGTTGACCTACATTATTGAGCCCTCAATGCTATTTTAGATAATAAATGTGAAATGTGCTCTGCTACATTAGCACACATACAAAGAAGCCATTGAAGGAAAACCACATTATAGAGTGTAGGAATCCAAATCTGTTCAAATAATACTAAACATGTTTTGTAAGTGTGCATTTGTATGCAGTACGTGAACAGAATGCATACTATATGTACTGTATATCAGTGTTAAAAGTCAAAACACCACTTGCGCAAATGGTTATAGATTGGAATCTGCCCAATAGGAAAAGCTTTTTGAAACCTGATATCCTCTTAAACACTGGAATGTAAATATTTGGTCGTAATGCCATCTAAAACGAAGATACAAATTGTTAAAACAGGTTTTATTAATTTACAAGGAAATGTTATTGTCTGCACTTGCCCCCTGTGCTGAAGAGGACACTTTGAGGATTTCTTTTCCCCACAAATGTGTGGTGTCAGCTTTCGGCTATTCAGGGTTTTCTATGTATCCTAATTGGATTGACATTGACGGTCTGGAGGAAGACTTCCCAGGCTAGGGCTCATCTGGAGCCGAAGGAGCTAGTCAGAGCAGGAGGCTGGAGCATCTGTAGGGGCCCACAGAGACCTGCGCTCTGAGTGGAAGAGCTGGCTCAACCGATATGGGCTTTTATGACAGCCCAATAAGATTTACAGGCTCTAGAAAGTGAAGATTTTTATCGCTTCTTCTCTCCTTTCTCGGAGAGTCTGTGTCTTGGGAGGGGCTAATTATGTTAGTGGAGAAACCCTAGAGCTTCAACAGGGTTAGAGACAGGAAAACAAACAATTAAAAAAGGAGATACAAGAGAAAAATGAGCAATGGTGAAACGATTAGCAGACCAATTTCAATAGCTTTAATTCACCGCAATCTGTAATAGCATTTTTTATAGTCATGAAAAGGCATGTATTTTGATGATGTTAGATGTGTGACCAGTATCTTTCATAACAAAACTAGTATTTCTGTTTCTAGTCTTTAGTTTTTAGTATATCTAAGAGTTTGGTATACCTTAACGTGACTATTTAAACGTGTGACCTGTTTCAAGCATAAGCCATGGACTGTCTTATTTTAGCTAGTTAATAACAATTTTTTAATGAATCATATAATATAATAATAATATATATCATTATAAATTGCTGCTCTGTTGTGCATACAGCAGCAAGTTGTAACTGACTGCAAAAGCTGTCAAGTACGTTGAAAATGATTTTATTAATGTATGGAAAAAAACAAACAAAAAACAGTTGATCTGTCTGGAGCTACAGTCAGCCCATCAGTTAAGAAGGGTTCATAATTGACCTATTACATTTTACTGGCTCAGAGTCACGGGTATGACAGACATCTTCACTATAAAATTAATGTTTGTTTTTGTGCTAAAAGGTTTATGAAGTCATTCTAAAAAATGACCATAGTAAGCACCACTTTCCGTGTTCTGTATGAATGTGTTTTTAAATCCCCAGATCTTGCAAGTCATTTAGGCCCGCTGATTTTTTTTCTCTAAGAATTTCCTCCTTTAATTTTTATAACTGCCATCTAATCCAGTGGCTCCAACCCTGCTGGTTGACTTAATGCCAATTGATCTATGCATTTTTTCCTATTTCCTTGTAGCAACATCACAGAGCTGAGGAAGACTTATAAAGATGCCTTCCTGAAAAAGCATAACTTGAAGTTGGGCTTCATGTCTGCATTTGTAAAGGCTGCTGCCTACGCTCTGGCGGACCAACCTGCTGTCAATGCCGGTATGGATTTAACTTTGAAGGACTGAGACACCTCACTTTGTGGTGTTTGTTTGACTGATACCAGACCTATCTTTGCATGTCTGGTATCAAGTCACTGTCTGGTGAAGAAAACGATTTAAGTTTCTGTTATATTCATTGCCAAACCTCAAAACCAACCCTAACTTATTTACTGCCTTTACACCACCCTGATCTGTTTAACTAGACCACAGTGAAGCAGGGGTGGTCTAAATCGCTGGCATTTGAAGATCTAAAATAGTCCGTGGGTTTCACCTTCCACTGGTCTTCACACAAAATGGCACATGTGAAAAGGAAATTAATCTTGGTGGCAAATGTAGTGATGACTTACAGTTTTAATCAGTATACATATTTTTCTTATGTACAATGTCAAGTTTATGCGTTCTTTATGCGTGTTTTCAGTAATTGATGACACAACCAAAGAGATTGTGTACAGGGACTACGTGGACATTAGTGTGGCTGTGGCTACACCAAAGGTAAGACAAGTGCATGAGTGCATTATATTGTAATGCTAAGTGTAAGTGCTTGATAGCCCACTTGTCTCTAATGTGGGCAGAAAATTCAGTAATATAACTTCTCTCTCAGGGTCTGGTGGTTCCTGTAATCCGAAGCGTAGAAGGAATGAATTTTGCTGATATTGAGAAGGCCATAAACTTGTTGGGAGAAAAGGTATGCTTATATTACATATATGACACATTTAAAGTCATGCAATTGTTGTAGCTGTTCAATTCTTTCTTCTTTTATACTTGTTTTGAAAGGCTCTTATCTTGAGATTTCCTCATTATGTAATTGTGTTTGTAGGCCCGTAAGAATGAGCTGGCTGTTGAGGACATGGATGGAGGAACCTTCACGATTAGCAACGGTGGCGTGTTTGGGTCCATGTTCGGCACACCTATAATCAATCCACCGCAGTCTGCTATTTTAGGCATGCACGGCATCTTTGACAGGCCTGTTGCAGTCGGTGGCAAGGTTTGTTTCCTCAGTGTTGTAATTGTGTACAAAAATAAGACAAACTTTTTTTTTTAGCAACAGAATGGTCACAAATGTGGATCAAGGAATAATGAAATGGATACATTTTAGTTTTTTCTACAAAATGGTGATTAGATTATAATGTGCTTGGTTTGACATATCCCTACTTTGGTGATTTATTAAGTATTCACTGGTATATTTCTAAGCTTACATGCATTAAACTATTCATATGCCACACCTAGTGACAGTCAGCAGTTTTCTGAAATTAGTTTGACTCCTTTTCTTTACTTGATAACAATTCTGTGCCCACGGAACAGGGTTTTTTCATGGGAAATATTTGTTGGGAAAAATTTATCAACTCAATTATGCTTTTATTGTCTTTGTCTCTCATTCTGTTTAGTGTATAGGAATTTTGGTGTTCAGCGTTTTGGTTTTCAGCGATTTTCTCTTGTTTAGGTGGAGATCCGTCCCATGATGTATGTTGCCCTGACGTACGACCATCGTCTGATTGATGGAAGAGAGGCCGTCACCTTCCTGCGCAAGATCAAGTCAGTGGTGGAGGACCCCAGGGTGCTGCTCCTTGACATGTGAACCCTTGTGAAGTCCAGGCCCAACCAAACAAACCACCCTACACAAACAGTGGCTGTATTCACCTGATGCGTTGATTAACTAGATAAAAGGAATTTTTGGAGAACAGTTGGGTTGTGCAATGGACATGTAACAGGTTGGCAGTGGTAAAAGGTTTGGTGCTGTTGTGGATAATGTCAGGGTCTGGGGTTTCTGTGGTGCTGGTCTATAGATCTACGGAGAAAAAAGATATTCTATTCTAACCCGTGCGGCAAAACATTTTCAACATATTGTGAGATGAATGGAAAACATAGATATAAACTGCATAGTATCATTTTATCATTTAGGTTGAGAGAAGAACAATTAGCAGAGGGCCAGAAACCAGGAAATACTATGATCTAAAATGTCCAAAGTGAAGAAATCCTCAATGTATGTCATCTGTTTCACAAAAATAAGAAAACTTCTCTTAATGTTGTGTAAGAAAGAATATTTAAGAAAAAAAAGTTTTAAACAATAAAAGCTGCATTGCTCGACTGTAGTTTTGGTTTTGGATTCTTTTGTACTTTCATATTGACAATGTGGTTTGCTATATTTTCATGAATATACACAGGGCATAGAGACATGAAAAGGGGGTTCATCCACATGTAAAGCGCATATGGATGACATTAAAACCAACATAAAGATGGTAGTTAAGTCTTAGAAGGCCATGTTAATTTTGTGTCATGCGTCAGCAGTACACATGAATGAAAGCATTTGCTATGTTTCTCCTTCATTTAAGGATTTTCCTTGAACTTCTCATCTGTCTGTATGCAAGTGGGTTGTGGAATATAGGTTGGTATCTAATAAAATATGGTCTTACTAAAAGCCTTATTTTTCACATTAGGGTAATCTAAAGCTTTAGCCAAACCACAAACAAATATGTGATGTCCTAAGAAAAAAAAAGTAATTTCTCAATCAACTGGACTAAGGCTTTTGACTCCGTTTGGATTGCCAACAACTGATAATGTGCGGTATGCGGGGATTTGATTTTGGTGAGATGTGCTTGATGCTGGCTCATTTTTGTATTCTAACCTTACATCTACAGTGATTAAACAAAAATGGTGTTTTTAGTCTCATTCCTCTGAGGAACCATACAAAGCCTATTGATCCATTACAACCTTTTTATATACAGTCTATGATTACAACACAATGACAAAAGGTTTCAGCAAGGGATAGAGAAGAGTTAAGAATTTATTACTATCCTTGTTTTTCTACAATATTTGATGGACGACAGTCCAAACATTTGTAAAATAATAAATCCATTTTTTTCATGTTTTGGAAGGGACAAGGTTTGCCAGTTTTGTTCAATTTTCAGTGTTTATTATGTTATTTTCTTTGGGGAGCATAAAATGCAAAGGAACCAGAATCTGGTGCGGCATCCATTTTGGCCACAGGAGGATTCTTGGATTCAGGTGAGTGTTCAACTTCACTTCCAATGCAGGACAGAGGGATTAGAGGGGCAGCAGCTGCACCTGTTAGCAGCTCAAAGCTTTCCAGGAGACACCGGTAAAGAAGGGATGACACTTGATGTCACTCACACCTCCACCTCCAGAACCCAAGCGATAGCCAGCATCAAACTGAAGCAACTGTGAGAGGGAAGATACTGTCAGATTAATGTGGCCGAGCATAATATTTAGAACAGAAGCCTTGTGAGTGTTTCAAGCATTAAATCTAACCTCAGTGAGTAGAGATGCAGCTGCAGTGCTCAGGTGGTCGGGGATGAACAGCTGGGTGTGGGAGTGGATTCCTGCTGGGTGGAGCTGCCAAAGTGGCTGGAGACACAGTGAACAGAGCGTGTGAGAAACCATGATCTAATGAAAGAATTACAGACTTTGTAAGACTGAACATGCTTGGGGATCCTTTGCTTACCATCCCGGTTAGAAGTTCAAACAGCAAAGACCCAAGACTCCACCAATCACAAGCCTCTGTAACCCTGGACACCCCACCAATTTCTGTCAACATACAATGATCTGAGTTTAGTTCTTTTCATGCACAACATTTCTTTATTTTTCCAGACAGTGTGTGCAGTAGTTGACGATTTATTCAGGATAAAGGGGACAAACTGGATCTTGCCACTAGGTGGCAGGTTACACCCAGGAACAACCACTGGTTTCAGCTCACAGTAGTGCATATTTGTACCTGGAGCGCAGTACATCTGTTCCATGGCTTTGGAGCAGATCTCTGACTGAACCTCACTCCACTGGCCGAAAAATGTCAACAGCACCTTTCCTGTGAAAACATGATGTTTAGCCAAAAGTATGAGTATTGTGGTTTTCCACATGCAATCTTTTACAAGTATTTGACGGAACTCACCGTTGCTGGTGAGCAGAACGTTTCTAGGGTTAAGGTCCCGACACAGGATGCCTTGCTGATGCAGACTCTCCAGGGCCAGCAGGATCTGAGCCCCCCAGACACGCACCTCTGCTTCCGGAAGCCCCCAGCAGGTCTGCAATGCCTTATCTGTAGTCCCAGTGGACTTGACAGGGAACCGAGGCAGGTGGCACCAGCCATCCACCTCTATGATCTGGTCATCCCCCCGCCCCTCTGATTCACAGAAAGCATCCATGTCCTCTCTTCTCCTGCCCTCCTGGGCTGGAGGGCTGGAGGAGAACCAGCCCACAAATGGTCGCTCTTTTGCAGGTGCCACCTTCTCTCTAGGACTTAATTCACAGGCCTCCTCTACACACTCTCTTGGCTCACTGTGTTTCCCTTTGTACTTCATCCGTGAAAATGTCCCCTGTTGTCCTGCAATGCTGTGGCAGAGGGAAGCAGAGGAAGGCCAGGAGCTTTCTGAGGTGATCCTTGAGTCTGTGTGGTCAGATATAACTGCTCTGTCTGTGCTCCTGATGACTACCATACCATTTCTTTCCTCAGTGGTGGGACTGCTGCCGTCCTGCTTTGGGTCTGTAACCATATCCGCAGAGTTACCACTCAAAACAGGTCCTTGGTGACAGCCATTGGTATCCCATGATGCCCTGCAACGAATCTGGGTTTGGCAATGGAGAGGAAGATGCAAAATGGCAGGGGACGAACTCAAACCATTATTTTCACTGTTTAGTGATCCTGCTTTTATAAATGAGGTCTGATTTGTATGAGGTGCAGTTTGTCCTTGTGTTAGTGAATGACTGTCAGTCACTGCATAGGGTTTTTTTTTCTCACTGTTGTGTGCTAGATCGGCAGCTTTCCAAGCAACTTCAAACTCAGAGCTGGTCTCTGTCAGTCCCATTCCAGCTTCCTTTTTATGGAGTTCTGACATGACATCGAGAGCTTGACTGACACGAGCACATGAGAGAGGAAGAGTGGGATGTTCCTGAGTTTCACTGGAGTGCAAACACAAACTAGGAGCTGGTGGGTGGATGCGGGTGTGGACCTGTGTCCTCGTCGGGCCCGAATGCAGAGTTAGCTGATCGAGTTTGGTATAAAACGATGCCGCAGAGCGTGTGTTCTGCAGACAACCCGTCTCCTCAATGTAGGAGTGAGTCCCACAGCTCTCCAGTCGCTGTTGAGTCTCATCCCATGAAGTGGGGAAGTCTGTATCTGGGCTCCCATCGCTTAATTTCTCTGGTATCACTCCCGTGCTCCCTCTGCTGTTGTGCTGGTAGTCTGTGCTGATTGTGGGCGAGGTGTAGCTGGTCTTCAGCTTGATGCTGTGCTGGCCAGACGTGAAGCATTCTGGGTGTTCCTTGGCCTTCTCCTTCCTCAACTTGTGTAGCTTGGAGAAGAGCCTCCCACCTAAAACAATAGGGGAAGAAACACAAGATCAGATACAGGGAGCAATGATGCTTTTCATTGTTGCTAATCTTACATTGTAACAATGCTAATTATTAAACACAGCAGTTGTTGACAGCTCACCTTTGACATGCTCAAGATGCAGGTACACAGCATCCTCACTGACGTAATATCTTAGCAGCTTAACCATGTATGGCACCCCCTGTGGAATGATGGTTGGCTTGTCCCTGCTCTCCCAGCTCGACTTGACCAGACTCTGCAAGACCACATACACATCATGACTGCTCTTTTGAGAAAGGGAAAAATGCATGTACAAAAAATGTGTATTAAATCATGGTTGGTTTGCCCCTTTAGAGATTAGTGCCTGTCTGTTACTATGCCCCTCTGGTCACTGACATTTGAAGTGCACTTGCACTGGCTAAAAACGTGAGAGCCTTCAGGCAGATCAATGCTGGATGATACTCAGAGAGACAGGATGGAGAGAGCTCTCATCGACCTGCCACAGAATACAAGGACTGGCTTGCTGCCAGACGGCAACCCCCAAAAATCTTCGCAATCAGACGATTGACTCACCTTTACAACAAATGTCTCCTTATTGACCATACTTTGGACAATCAGGACCTTTGGAATGAAAAATAACATTGTCAGGCTACCATAGCAAAGAAGATACAACAAGGAATGTCAAAACGCAAACACTGATACCGAACCACACAGGCAGAAAGTGGTAGAGTTGAAAAAAGTCTTGTCTTACCTTATCAGCCACTCCCACCACTTTGCACATCTCCAGGTCCTCCACGGGCGAGCTCAAGTGTCTGATTGGACGGAATCTCAGACTGCTGTAACCCTGGTGATGAAAGCCACTGACAATATTAGCTACAATACAATGAAGCCCATTGCAAGCAATTAATGCATTTTCCCCCACAATATCTGAGATGAAACAGACAGGCACTAAATGTTTTATCTAATGTAAGAAGCAAGACAGACAGTGCTGTTTTATGTTCATACCAACTTCTCCAATATTATACTTAAATAAATACATTAACCCTACATTTAAATTATATTCACCATACATTTTGAAGTAGTCAAGATGATTTCCTTTTTGAGAATGACACAAAAGGATAATTTTCCTACCCCTAAATGAGAGCTTCCCTTGCCAAGGTTGTCCTGTAGATGTGTTATGAAGATTTCTTCAGCTCTCTTCAGATACTGGGTTGTCTTCCTCTTCACTGCCTCGCGACGATCTTTGTTTGGGTCCACTGTAAAACAGATACGCTCTATCAGACACCAATAAAAAATAAAGAAAAATACTCTAGCTGTGTGAATTGAATAAACCTAACGGACAAGATCATGTCCTGACTACAGACTTTGGTCTTTAGCTAGGATAATGATTAGTAATAACTATTAACACTGTGGGGGGAAAAAGTCTGGTCAGCAAGGAAATCTGTGTTTGACCTTTGGTTTGTGACTTCCTGTTTTTATTCTGGGCCACATGTTCCCATCACATGTCTTGTGCAAACACGCCTCTTAAAACTCCCCATTTCACATAGTCTTAAATACTTGTGTGAAAGACCAAATGCTGCCCACTTACACTGAACTCCATTTAGCAGTAAGTCCACCCCATTCTTATAGTAGCTGAAAGCTGCCTCATAGTCCTCATTGACCTCACTGTCCAGTGCCATGCGGATCTGCTTGGCTGCCTCCACCAGGTAATCTCTTTTTGCCATCACTGCCTTGTTCTGAAACCGTCAAGGAGCAGATGGGCCTAAGCAC